GCGGGTGAGGGGCGCGGCTGGACCTGCCCCACGGGCCGAGCGCGGCGCGGGGGGCACGTGCGTCCTGCAGGGCCGCGCTCGGCGCTGGAGAACCGCCCTCCTGTGGGTGCCCCGCTGATGGGCGCAGGGACACGTGGCGCTGCCTTGGGCCCGCCACGCCGCCCTCCGTGGGCTGCGGGATGCCGGGCTCGTAGCCCCGCCTGGGAGGAGCCGCCCGTGGCCCCGGCCCGTGTCTCAACGCACCGCGTGTGGCAGTTGCTGGGTCCGAACCCACAACTTCTTGTTTTTAAGGCTGCCCTCCTGTGGGTGCCCCGCTGATGGGCGCAGGGACACGTGGCGCTGCCTTGGGCCCGCCACGCCGCCCTCCGTGGGCTGCGGGATGCCGGGCTCGTAGCCCCGCCTGGGAGGAGCCGCCCGTGGCCCCGGCCCGTGTCTCAACGCACCGCGTGTGGCAGTTGCTGGGTCCGAACCCACAACTTCTTGTTTTTAAGGCTCTTCGGAGCTTCCTCAAATTGCTTTCTTTCCAGTGGGGGGGATGATTCCCCCGCGTGAATGGAGGGAATTTCTCCGTCTCTTTGATTTCTCGTTGGGGGTCGCACTCGATGGCCTGTCCGGGTCCCATCCGACCCTAGAAACTGGTTCCTCCGCTCCTTTAGCTTGTGCGAGCCCTTCCGCGGCGCAGGGCGTGGCCCCGGAGGTGTTCGTTCTTGCAAAACTGGCTCCTCGCTGCCGTTTGTGTAACTTGTCTGATAAGCGCTGTGTAGTGCCTAACCCCTAGTTAGGCTAGAATTGCTTCCACCTCAATGGAGAGAAAGTTGTGCCCTTTGATACAAACGTGGCCTGTGGAAAAATCAAACCGTTGACAGGTGACGGACGTTTCCGTGTGTCTTATCCCATCGCAGGCGCCCAAGCTGGCTGAAAGATACTGCATTTGCCACCTGGCAACAGGTGACATGCTGAGGGCCATGGTGGCATCTGGATCGGAACTGGGCAAACGGCTGAAGGAGACCATGGATGCCGGGAAGCTGGTAGGTTGGGCGCAGCGCACGCTGGGCCCGTGGGTGCGATGCTAAAAGCCTCGATGAATACCTACAGGCCGACAGCGATCAGAACGCCAGCCTTTGCTTAGACATGCCAGAGCCCGGGTTAGAGAGCTGGCCCACAGAAGTGCTAGAAAGCTAAGAGCAAATGGTAATAAGACAAGGTTCCTTGGGTGAATTTGAGATCTTTTATTAGACCAACCCAAATAGTTGGAGAATAGTTATTAAGAAAGCTTTCGGGTTCAAAAACCCTTCATCAGGCTAAGGAAGTTTCAGCAGTAGGTGTGTGCTCTTCGTGAGTCCTCTTATTTTTCCCACTGACAACCTTGTACAGGAAAAATGGCTTGTGCAAGATGCTTCTCGCTCTTGATCTTTACCAATTCTCCTGGTCTTGTCCTGGTTTCCCCCCCCGCTCTCTACATTTAATGTAGTGTCACATTACACGCAGTGAACTCTGCCCAATCAGCTTCTAATTTATGAGACTTCTTGATTAAAACCCAGTGTCTTTGATGTTGCAGAGAGAGGTTTCTGCACTTTGGAGCTCCTAATCCTCCTGCCCATACGGAGTCTCGGACCCCCACAGAGTGAAAATCCCAGTTATCCACAGGTGTCCATCTGCCCCCACTCCCTCCCCTCTCCCAAAAAAGAAATCTCTTGGATAATCTCGGGTCGCTTGCAGGTACAGCAGGCATTAAATAACTTCATGTAACAGCAGCCTAACTTTTGGAATCCAGTGATGGATGGTACTTGTCAGTAGCATGCTTATCTGTAGGCTTGCCCACCCTGAGAGAGAACCTGAGACTTCTTGTGGAAAATTGAGGCAGAGCGAGATAACGCAACTTCCCCAAGATTGCACTGAGTTGGAGCAGGTTCTGGTATAGAGTCCAGGTCTCCTGTCTCCCAGGCTGGTGCTCCCTTAACATACCACTGCGTAGACGGGTTCAGTCCTTTTCCTTTCTCATGGTGTGCCGCACTGACTCAAACCATTGGCAATAACAGGCTCTCGTACTTCAAGGAAACTCGTTGAGGAGAGTTTCCAGGATTCAGGGTGAAAGAACACGGTTGCTTATCTCTGGTCTTTACTTTGAGCTAGCGCTGCATCCCTGACTCTGCAATATTACAGCTGGTTGGGACAGATAGGAGTGTTATTGAGGCTTACTGGCCCTATCTCTCCTCTGCATGCTAAGAGGATAGTGGACTGCGTTGGCCAGCTATTGTTGGGTATATTCTGGCTTTGGGAGAGCTTATTTTGATAGAAGTGCAGTAATTAACAGAGCCTGTAACTAGAGTTGGTGCTTACTTTTAAAAACAAATAGCTTCTCATTGACTGAAGGACTACAGAATCACGAAAATAACCTCCGGGTTCAGGAGAACCACTTGACCTTTGCATATGAGCCACCTGACCTTCGCATGTCAGCTGTAGAAGGCTTTTTCCCTCGAAACTACCCCAAAACCTAGCACCCAGTTCAGCTATGTTACAGTCATGGAAATCAGACATGCTGGTTCAAAGGTCAGTGAAGCTGCTGTAGATTAACTAAAGAGGTATGGGCAGCTAGGTGGTCACTGGGATCTCTTAAATCTCTAGTGAATGGAAGAAATTCATCCAGTTGTATATTCCGGTTGTAGTACTGGAAAGCCTGTAGATTGTGCAAGTATTTTTGCACGTGCCTAACTTCCTTATTAGTCTCATTAGTCTAACGTGGGACTAGTTGCAGGTTTTAAAAGAAAAGAGGCCTGTCTGCCCCTAACAGGGAAGGGATGATGAAATGCTCAGTATTGCGCAGATGGTTTTGTTTCTATTAATCGTGAATGTTAGTTGTAGGAAGCATACTTACACTAAGGCGTGCCCCCTGATTTGGCAGGCCTTAGGCTAGTGGTTCTCAACCTTGGGCACCCCTCCATCACTTTTTGTGGGGGGAGATGTAGTGGCACCCCAGTACAGAAACACTGCTGTATGCTCTCAGAGATCTCCCTCCACTTTGTTTCTGCCCATGTGGGAACTGTAGAGTCAGTCCCAAAGCCAAGGCATACAGTTAACATTCCCAGGAGGTGTTTATTTTCACGTATTGCAGCATGTAACACTTGCGCTTACTTGGCAAAAGTTATTTTTAACGTTCACGTACCCTTATAAAGTGGCTTCCTGGCTTCGGTGTATGTTGAATTTGCAGGCTTTGGATGTGTTAACACAATGATTTAATTATTACCTGCACCCAATGTTAAAATTTCTGCTTCTGGCTGTTTTTGCTGTACCCAGGATTCAATAAGATACAAGCCTTCACAATGCCTGGGTTCTGCCTGACTCTGATCTTGGTGATTGAGAGGTGCGATAGCAAATACTCACTGGAGCTGTCTTGGTTTCAGGAGTGCAGTTGGCAGCCTTTTGATATGGAGCTAATCTTGCCGCCTTGTTTGTAATGAGCTGTCTATGTCTTGTCTTCTAAGGTGAGTGATGAGATGGTGGTAGAGCTGATAGAGAATAACTTAGACACCCCTCCCTGCAAGAACGGCTTCCTGCTGGATGGCTTCCCTCGCACTGTGCGGCAGGCAGAGATGGTACGTGACCTTGAATCCTCCGGCTCCTCGTAGCTCTCTTCCCACCCTTAGCTGCGTCTCCAGGGGAGACTGGACGCTGTCTGAAGTCCCTGTGAGCTGTAGTGTTATGGTTTGTGTTACAGCTGGATGATCTCTTGGAGAAAAGGAGAGAGAAGCTGGACTCTGTGGTTGAATTCAGCATTGCTGACTCCTTGCTTATCCGGAGAATCACTGGCCGGTAAGAATTCCCTTTCCTCTGCAGACTGCCCCAGTGCAGTTCTTTTTGCCCTTTGTGTTTACCTGCACTTAGAGAAAATGTGTTGCATCTTCACGCCTGTGGTGTTTCTAGCACGGGTCAGAACCAGCCGTGACACAGCCCTTCATTCCAAGCCAGTCTCAGTCTCTGCTGTACGCTGATGTGCTGTGATACGGTGCTGCTACCCCATCTCAGTGCTTTACTGAAGCACTCCATGCTACCTGTTCTTGTCCTCGCCTTCCTTGAGCAGAGGATCCACAGGCAGCTCCCACAGCCTGTGGTGGCTGAAGTGAATAAGCCTCTTGCGACTAAGCCAAGACTTTAAACCTAGGCTCTGACAGGTGATGCATTCCCTTGGTATACTATCTCTGGTTTTGCTGCTTGATTTTTATAACCTAGAAGCTGAAAGCCTGTTGAGTATCCTTACTCTGGGTGAGACTTGATCATGCGGATCTAGCAGG